ATCTTCCTCTTTTTCTCTCGCCGGTGGTGAACGGTACTTGCCCCAGGCAGTGGCGGCCGTGTTTGCAGCGGCTGCGGCGGCAGCCGCTGCAGCCTCGTCTTCCGCACCTTCTCATGAACGAAGTGGTACACCCCCGATTGCTTCAGATTCCCTTATTCCTTCTGCTGGTCAGGCGCCGATCATAGCTTCAGCCAGAGTCTCAGCCTCTGGCCTCGGGCAAGCACATTTGGCTCCCCCCATGGCGCCCCTTGCACAAAATATTTCGGCCCCTGTACATCAACATCCTCACCAATCTCTTCCACCTCTTAATCATCATCAACCTCAACAGCAGCAGCAGCAGTTGGGTGGAGTGCTCGCTTTTCACCCTTTCCCACCATCACATCAGCACCAGGCTCTCTATCATCTCATCACAGTCTCTTCCTGGACGCGAGCAGTTTCCTCGGTGCTTGCTTCTTTTGATACACCTACTTGTTCAAACAGTTCTAGCACTGGCCAAACATCCACTTCTTTTGTCGGCCCTTCTCCTGGAACGACCTCATTTATTTCTTCGACGACTAACCAATGGAGTTGTCAGCGTCTTGTTTATCCAATTGCGGGGTCGGGTGAATGCCCAGCCTGTGCTTCGAATTCTCCTACTTTACATTCTCAAACTATTTCAGATAAAGTAAGTCATTTTAATCAAATTTCATTCACACTTCACTCGAACGAAACATCTTTCCTGCTATCAACTGAGCTATTGGAATTAGAAACCATTATCATCCCTTATGGATTCCTTCAAAATTGGCCTCATCAATCATTTTTTTATCATCACTCAGGATTAGATATAGGCATTAATTGGTCTTCATATCTACGTTTAATTTAATTTTTTTTGAAGTTATGAAGACTAAGATGGTGTGGCCTTTTGTATGGTCGCAGTCTCCTTGTTTTCACAACTTGGTCGAATTGGCAGGGCGACCTAGAGACAAATCTCCTTGACTAGTTGTAGTGTAATGCTAATAGTGGCAAGACTCA